AAATAAAAAGTCTAGTGGTAAGAGCAAATCAGCTCATGATCATTTAACTGATCCAAAATTAAGCTCATAACCAGCTGTTGAACATCCTAGACCTCCAAATAAAAAAAAGGAAAGAAGAGAGAAAGAAGAAATTAGCGATTGGGAATTATTGGGAAATAATTGGGAAATTAACAAATTATGCAATTTCTGCGATTAATTTATGAACTTTTCTAACTGCATCGCATAGCTGACTCCTTGTGCAACATTCTTATACAATTTTTGCACATAATTTGACGCTAATTAGTTTGTTACTATTACTTACTTGACAACGTACGTGATTCGATAACAATGATCGGCGTGATGGTCCAACAGAATAATTAATTATGAACAAAATTCGAAGTAAAATAAGAACAAAAATGATATGAGAATGTTCATAAGGATATTGTTTTTATAATGTGCGGATATAATTTGTAAATTAATTGCATAGAAGATTGTAATTAATGAGAAACTAATAGTATTATCAGCATCAATTCGAACATTTTGAGTAATAATTACACATATACTATTATACGTAAATTATAATACTTATCGTTAGTAACAAGTTATTAATGTTAATAACAAATTGTTCACAACGTAAATTTACAATAAAAGTGAAAACATTAAAGAATTACTGGCTATTACTTGAACTTGGAATGAATTTGTGTCAAAATGTAACTATAATGTGCAAAAAGTTTATAAATTATTACGCTGATTGTTTATAACAAATTGCTCGCAACGTATATTTATAATAAAAGTGAAAAAATTAATAAATTATTGCCTACTACTTAAACAAACGACGTATTTGTGTTAGAATATATTCGTAACTTACAAAAAGTTAATAAATTAATAAATTTATTGTTAATAGCAAATTAAAATTGTTGATAACAAATAGTTTGTAACGTATATTAACGATAAAAGTCAAAAAAGTTGATAAATTATTAGTTATTACAGCGGAAAGGTAACGTTTAAAGGAATCGGTAAAGTTCGGAAATTTTCGCCGACCTTCGGCCGGCTGCCGCTATATAAGGGGCCCGCGTGCAGGCTCGAGCCAGTTGTCGCTTCGACTTCGGAGGGTCCGCGTTAATATTTTTCTTTCAGGTACTAATTATTTTTTGTTTCAGCTTTTAATTATCTTTCTTCTTTCAGATTCTATTTCTTTTATTCTAGATTTCATTGTTTGTGCATTCGAATATTTTGTACAATATTCGAATGCTTCGTCGTTGGTTTATTTGTATATCATCGTTGGCTTGATCAATGGCTATTCAATGGCCATTGTCTACTCTCTTGAATAATTTAATAATAATTCCTTCTTTCAGGTACTAATTATTTTTTCTTTCAGGTTTTAATTATCTTTCTTCTTTCAGATATTATTTCTTTCATTCTAGTTTTCATTGTTTGTGCATTCGAGTATTTCGTACAATATTCGAATGCTTCGTCGTTGGTTTATTTGTATTGTATATCATCGTTGGCTAGATCAATGGCTATTCAGTGGCCATTGTCCACTCTCTTAAATAATTTAACAATAATTTCTTCTTGCAGATTTTATTTTTTTCATTCTATGTGTCTTTGTTTCAGCATTCGAGTATTTCGTATAATATTCGAATGCTTCGTCGTTGGTTTACTTATGTCTCATCGTTGGCTAAATCTTTCCTTTCACAAATTTTACGACTTCCGTTCGATTTGTTTTCGTTAGAGCGTTCGAGTATTTCGTATAATACTCGAGCGCTTCCTCGTTGGTATGTTTATATCTCACCGTTGGAATGTTTCTGTCTCGTAGTTATGTTGCTCAGGTCTCGTCGTTGGCTTGCTCGTTCCATTTGGTTATTATCCTTGATGGTTTCCTCGTACTAATCCCTTTCCTTTCAGCTACATATTAACAATAATATATTCTGTTTTAGCTTTTAGGTTTCTCAAGATTCTGTTTGCGACACATCAATGAACGATGCGTGCGTTTACTTTTAAGTAATCATAAGATAGATCCATAGACTAAGTATCATGTGCGCGCTATCTGTACAAAGGTAAGCTACCTAACTTGGAGCGAAATTTATAAATTCTCTATCATTTTCTTATCCCCCTCGTTTAGCAAATAGAACATAATTGTTCTCGCGATAATCGCGATCGTTCGTAAGTACCGACTAGCCTACGCGACGTGCTCTCGTGTACTCGATAAGTACATGCTTCGTAAGTCATCCTCACGACTCGTCTCCGACACTCATTTCCAGTCACTGTCAATCTCGTCATGCATCGGGTTCCAGGGTGACCCCCTCGGATCAGTGCGTCTTCTGACCTCGACGGGGCGGTCCGCTGCCTAAGTCGTACGCGACTTGGGCTCGGGCACATGCTGGCTGACGGACTAGTACCATCTACGGTTAGACCACAGGGATGATTAAGTTCTACCCCGTGTGGCTGGGATGCGAAGTGTCTGTCTTGGCCGGCAACCGCCCAGCAGGGCCCTCGCGTTGACACTAGAAGTTTCATTGGTTCAGGGACTATCCTTGGTCCACGTGTAAGTCTTGGCGAGTGCGACAGTGACTGGAATTGAGCTAGGCCCGATCGGGAGGGTGCCGAGGTATGAAGTTATCTCTGTACACGGGAGTACATCGCCTAGGCTAGTCGGTCTTTCGAATAATCGCGAACTCGTTCGGGCGCGTCGCGATTTTCTATTAGCTCGCGTGTTTGATATTTCGTTCCCTATTTTTATGGGAACTTGAAAATATCTTAGCTTTGCGACAGTAGAGTTTCAGTATACCGAACCGAAACCCCTTTTGTAAGACACGAAATATAATAAAGTGTCGGTAGAGTCATTTTAACTTAATTCGCTCCAAGTTAGATTAGGGTGCCTTTGATACAGATAGCGCCAGCAGGCTGCGCCACTAGGGCGCATGTTGGGTCTCGATGCGTAGTCACCTCCACGTGGTGAGACCTGGTAATTGGTATCCTTTTCCAAAGATTTTTCTTTGGAAAACGATACCAAGCTAAGAGCTACGCACAAGGTTTAAGATTCTTATATTTTAATTTCTATCTTTATTTGTCCTATTGTAGAAACTACTCTATCAAGAGGTCATTGATTCCTGTCGAAGAAAATAAACTCTCCCAGAATCACCTAATCTATATCACGCAGCAGTGCAAGAGTAAAAATTTATTGGACGCTATAATCAAATATCGAACAACCACCCGACATTACCACGGCGCCTCGTTGCATGGACGTTATTCCTCGAATTAAACGTTTCAGTGAAGATGAAGTCGTCGAATTGGACGGCAAGGAAGGTTCCCAGGACTACAGAATACCTAGAGGAAATAAGTCGATTATAAACCTTCGTTCTCTCACTGGCATCGGTAATGAGCTCGAAACGCGCATTTCCTCGGCTAATATCCCTGTGGTGATGTTACGCGAGCCTTATTAAAATTAATCTCCCCTTTCGGACGCGGCTTCGCATTGTTCCGCGCCTCGTCGTTAATATCCCTGCCCCCCGCGATCAAGGGGGATGGGGATCGCGCGCGAAATGACGCGGATCGGCGCAGCGGCTCGGAGAGGAGAAACAATTACAGCCCTCGTTATCGTTATCGTCTGCAGAGCGACATTGCAAATAAAGATCATCGCCAGGGATAATTAAGCATGAATCGTGCGTATACGCTCCGTCGGCTGACGGTTAATTGCATCGATTAATTGCGCCTGTTGGCACCATCGTGCCGTATTAGCGACACGACTGGGGAATGATATCCGATAGCCGATTCGTTATTGTTATTCAAATTCCGTCTCCATTTTGCGTCGAGCGCGAGGAACGCCGCGAATACGCAGTTTATTTTGCGAAATCGCGATTGCTTTTTTGAGCGAGATTTTTGTTCTGTGTATCCGTGGTCTGTATGTATATATGTATGTGCAATATCGTGAATCGGGTTCGATATTTGTGTTGGTGTAGATTTATATGGACGAATCGTCGCATTGTGTGTCCTTTTATCGCGTTCTTCGTTAAATTTTGCTTTTTGTAAATTGCAAAATGATAGCACGCTCTACAATTTTCCATGTATAACTTTCTATCTTTAACTTTTAGTGTTCGAGTAACTTCAGAGCGGAATCTCGGTAAAAGGAAAGCTCGTTTGATTATGAATTAAATATAATTTTGTGTCCTTTTATCGCGTTCTTCGTTAAATTTTACTTTTTGTAAATTGCAAAATGATAGCACGCTCTATAATTTTCTATCTATAATTTTCAGTGTTCGAGTAACTTCAAAGGGGTATATCTCGGCAAAAAGAAAGCTCGTTTAATTATGAATCAAATTTAATTTTGTAGGGATAAAGATTTTTTAAGGAAATTACTATTTTTAGAATATTTTAAGAGTATAAGAGGAATATTTATGACAGATTGTCGAGTGCAAGTAAAGAGAAAGTCTAGGTATGTTTGGAAGAAAGAAAAATGGAAGGTTAAAACAAATGTTCGAGTATGCGAGCATTAGTTGCAGCATTAGTTTCAGTTTTGAAACAGCGAATGTCAGTTCTAGGTTAGTTTTTGAATAGCGCATGGTAGAGTAAGGTCAGTGTTAATAGCGAGTATGTGATCGAAGCTAGCAAGTTTAGATCGCGTATAGCGAAACTCGACCTTTTGTATTCCAATTATATTATTAATTATCAATCAGAGACCTGTGCGTATTTGTGCCTTCCGAATCTCATACTCGCAATTATGAGGGAATATTTGTGCGCCATGCACAGCGAATGATATTCGTAATTAAATGGAACTGCGAGGGTTACAAACTTCCGGTGTCGCTTAGAGGAGCGAAGACGAACAGCTGAATAGGTGAACAGTTTCAAAAGTCTCGAAAAAATTATACTTTTTAATTTTCCAAAATTCAGATTTAATAATTCCAAACTTTAAAATAGTTTAGTACATGAAAATTCAACCCAGAGGAGTTTTCATAAGTAAACACTGGTTACTTATGCAACACATCGCGAACGTCAAATGCTTTATTTTGTTTGCGCGTGTTTAATAATTCACACGTACTATTTGACGAATTGGTTATTTAACTCTCCGTTCGTACCTCGCTAGCAGAGGCAATAAAAAAGTTAGGAGGACGTTAAATATTTAATGGAAAATATTCGGAATATCGAACTTCGATTTCCGTTATGGGCTTGCATACGAATTAAAAAGATATCACGTACCAGGTCGGGAATACCAAAAAATATTTCCAGAGAAACAATTATATCGCGATATTTATTTCACATTTACGCGAAGTACGAAATATTTCAGTTTCGATAAAAAATTCCTTGAATATTCGATAATTTCTTTTCCTCGATAGATAAATATATCTATTCCTCGATCACATGGCGGATTTCATTAATCATCGATTATTGCGCTTATTTTTGCCGTATAGATATGCGAAAGTAAACAAAGATAGTAATTAATTAATTGAGCAAGCGATTCCACCTAACGTTACGCTTTATCGCTATAAGAAGAGAAGAAACTCGATATACCTAACGTAATACATCGGTGCATGACGTATCGGACGTAAAAGTCGTTGTGGAAAGAATTTCGTGCTCTCACGGGTAAAATATCTTCTCTGTGAAAACCGCGAAATTAATTACAATCGTTCAGATATTCGACTTCTTCGAATGTGTAACTTTCAGATGCACCTTCCGTCAGTAGTTCGTACACTCGGTGCAGCGCCACCATCGCGGTGCACGAGGTAACCAACGCTGCGATGTTTCGGAAAAGAAATATCGCGAGAAATATTTCCATCTCAAATACCTACGGATATCGGGGATCCAAAAGAGCACGAAATTCCGTTCCCTTCGTGCCATTTGCTCGCAAGGTGCATAAAGGAACAGCAGTGACACGGAAGGAATCCGTTGTAAATCTAACCTAACACCAGGTAATCTCAAATTCCACTCGAACTTTGACCCACTCTATTTGTTTGCCTAATTACAGTCGAATTTTATTATTTCAGAAGCATCTTCAGGCGTTGATGACTCGAGAGGAACAGTCTTTTACTTATCACATCGCGTACCGCATAGAAATCTCTAAGACATACGCCAGGGACTACATGTTTTGACAAGAAAGTATGTTGACATCTAATAATTATCATTTACATCTATTTATAACATCCATAATGACATCTGACATTTATGACATCTAGATCTATGACAGATGGCGCGTGAAAAACTCGTGAGCGGTATGCAACGTGTTAGGAGCTGTCAATAAGGTATCAAGACAGTATGTTAACATCTAGTAACTATCATCTGCATCTATCTGTAACATCTACATCTATAATGACATCTGATATCTATGACATCTACATTTATAACAGATAGCGCTCAAAAAACTCGTGAGCGGTACGCAACGTGTTAAAAGCTGTCAATAAGGTGTCAAGACAGTATGTTGACATCTAGTAACTATCATCTACATCCATCTACAACATCTACATCTATAATGAGATCCGACATTTATGACATCTACATTTACAACAGATGGCGCGCAAAACACAGGAAAACTCGTGAGCGGTACGCAATGTGGTAAGAGCTGTCAGTAAGGTGTCAAAATCCTGTCACTTTCAGTCCATTGGGCACGCGGAAGATCCTCTCTTCCGGCGGAAGCTCGCCTATGAGGTACACCTGCAAGCTCTGCTTCGCCATGGGGGAGTGTCCGGTTCCGATGAAGGCCAATGTCGCGTCCCTGCCAGCGTACTCGAGTATCACGTCGGACCCACCTGGATGAGTCTTCAAGAAATCCGTGCAGTCGTAGACGTAGTCGTGGATCACGACCCAACAGTTGTCAACGGTGTCGTGCCAAGCTACCTCGTCTAGATTGATCATCCTCAACTGCTCGGACTCTTTGCTGCACGATTTCGTCTCTTCCTTGTCGTGCTTCGGCCTCCTCAGCTTCGACGAACCCTCTTCGCTCTCGTTGCTCTGCTCCTCCAGCTCGAGGAAGTCCTCCTGCGACGGTTTGGTGTCACGCAGCTCCAGGATGGTTAGACTTAACAGATCCATGCCGTCCTTCACGCTGTCAATTCTGTAAGAAAACACGAGCGATGGCCGGTGTTAATTGTTGGATTGCTAGGTGACAGTGTAATCTCACTCGACTGATTGAATTAGGATTTTAATAAGAGGCATACGACCGATTTTTATTAGATGGTTAGGAGAGTCTCTCGCAAGTAGACGGATTGACACTGCATACACACTCGACGACCCGTGCTTCTTCCGCGGAACGAAGCAGTATACTGTCAACTGCCAATCGTAAAGGTTAGAGAATTTCCTCCGATTGGAGGTTATCGAGCGTGCTTTCATTTTCGATAAGTCGAGAGGGATTACACAAGAGTCCTGCTCGCGAAATTACGTGGTCCGTTAGGAGGAAGATCTCGCTGCGAGGACCGTTGAACCACGGAGGAACAGTCGCATCATTCCGGAGGCAAATGGTTGAAATTACTTCGACCTTTGAACAACGACCATTTCGTGATAGCTAAATCAGGGTCAGTGACCCGGGTGGAAGAAATGGACGATAGATCGGACGCAAACGACGAAACTCGTCTCGATCACGATGCTAATTGTCAAGACCAATCGCGAAGAGAGTAGATCGGATAATTCGATGTTATTTTCAACCAACGTTCCGTGGGTTCACGAGTATTCTTCGAGACTCTCCTAACGTTCCACGACCAGGTTGACGGAACAGTGGTTCGTCTGCCATCGATCGAAAGAATCGGCAATGATGATTACTTTCGTTGCTCCGCCCGGCTCGACTCCATATCCCTCGACTACCTGTACGAGTTCTCACCGAAGGGACATTGCACGCGGCACTGAACAGTCGAGAAATCAATTCCCCGGCCTGTTGGAAGGAAAATAATTCTATTACCGGTTGAAACCCAATGCGTGCGAGCTAGTTGCTCTATCTCGTCGATCCAACGGTGTCGCGAGTCGTGGATCCCGAGTCAGCAACGAGATCACTCGGAGAATTATCGGTACCGATCGACAGTGGGATAGTGTACTTAGGATTGTGTACCGTTCGCGAGATGTCTCTTGGATTTTCCAAGTGCCCTAGGTAATCGTGTCTCACCGTGCGCGAAATCGCTGGCGAATCGTGGAATTTGCAACGTTGACGTCGCTTGACACGCGTCAGAGTATATCAGCGGGTTCGTCCTTTCTTTCTGGTAATGTAATAGATAAACACGCGCAATTATGCAACTCCCAGCGGATCCGACGAATCGCACGTCGCGTTCTTATCGAGCGCGAAGGTTCGTCTCGAGAGCGTGCGTTGTTACTGATTTATTGTTCGCCCGTTCGCGAGATAAATCTGATTTACGTCTAGTTACGTCAATGATTACGCGTAACTTGACTAGTAGTTACATGGTCGCTGCAGCAGGAAGAGGGAGCTTCGCGAATTCCGTTTGCGAATCATAGCAGAGTGTAGATACGTGGTCCTCGAATTTGACGTTTTTCGTCTCGCGATTATTCGAATTCAAATTAGCAGAGATCACTATTACTCATTGTATAAAACGTAGAACCGTGTAATTTTGAAATTTTCTTAGAAAATTCTTGGATATTGTATAACTTTGGATTTACGTCTGATAAAAATTCGTGACAGTGTTTAGGTATAGTAGATTACGTATAGTGAAAATGCGTTTGGATATCGTCGAAATTTATTTATAAACAATCATATCGAATGTACGTGATGCAACCATAGCGAGCACGTGTCGTATTAATGTTGTTGTGAAATAATAGCGATGTTTTCATGCTCGTGGATATTTACCGAGTAATGGAAGGAAATTGTTAATTCGTGGACAGAGATAAAAATGATTGAAATGGTGTAAATTTCGAATAGGCTTCGCGTTCGTTTAAATACACGTCGCTGGAACCGGTCTCTGCGCGAGGGATTTGTCTTCGCGAAAGAAAACCAGTCGATAGCGATTTCGCGATTCGCGTTAGCGTCAAACGTAATCAATGTTACGGCAACGTGCATTCATTATCGCGAACAATATTCGATATGGTTCAATGGAAGCTTCCTCGATACGACGGTGAGATAAGATTTTATTGAATCTTTTGCTTGACTCAATAATATGCTGTCATAATTTTTGGGGGAAATTTATAGAAAATAATTTTTATCGTGTTCCATGAGCGGAATGCAATGGAACGTCGACGAAGGTCAAGGAAAAGCTGTGCTGTAAGAACGATTCGCGATTTGTTAGTGTTTAATGATGTAACGCTGAGCAATCGGCGAATTACACTGTTCAACGCGAATTTTTATTGAATTTTATTGAATTTAATTTTTTAAAATTAAATGAAATCGGGTAATTTTTGTGGAGCTTACTTCCCTGAGAAGGAAGACGTAATCGGAACTGGTATATCACGTTTAAATTTCGAAAATTGTGAATTTGGTTAAAAGAAAGATACAACATTTGGTTAAAATAAAATATTGTATATAAGGTAAAGAAGTTAGGAGGTTCGTTATTATACTAAGAGTAAAGTAAAAGTATTTCGAATGTTGATTATTAAAATTGTTTGTGTTGCGGAATAATTATAATTGGTCGTCAAAGTTTGTCTGACACGAATTTTCTATAGAATAGCGTATTGTGTAGGTTATTCTGAAAGAGAAAGCATGGAATAAAATTGTAGAAAGAGTTTGCAATTCGATTAAATCGGGAATATATTCGTCGAGAACGTGTATATGAAGTTTTCCCGCCGCGCAACCATTGCGCGGTTTTCTAGTCGCGACAGTGCCGTAGCTACGCGTAACCCGGGCACTAAATGCAATGGAGCTAACATATAACAGTTAGATATTTTATAAATGTTTTATAAAAAATGTATAAAGTGTCAAATTCATCGTTCGTAATAAATTGAAATTATTAATAACAAATTGGATAAAGCATAAAAATGGTTCACATAAATGCATCACAGAAATTTATATTCTAAAAGTATAAATAAAATTTATATATTATTACACTTAGCTTTAGTAATAAATTAATTTTGTTAGTAACAAATTCTTCGCAATGTGAATTTATAATAAAAGCGAAAAAATTAATAAATTATTGACTATTACTGGAATTAATAATTACTTAGGTTAAAATGTCTGTATAATATTAAAAAATTTATGAATTACTACACTGATTGTTAATAACAAATTAATATTGTTGATAATGAGTTGTTGCAAGATAAATTTATAATAAAAATGAAAAAATTAATAAATTATTGGCTATAACATGACTTTAATAACGCACTTGTGTGAAAATGTACCAATAATTTACAAAACTGTTTATAAATTATTGCACCGATTGTTAATAACAATTTCATATTGTTATTAACAAATTGTCCGCAATCTCTATTTATAATAAAAGTGAAAAAATTTATTAATTATTTACCATGAGAGCGGAAAATTAATAATTAATAAAATCCGCGAAGTTCGCAAGTTTCCGATTGGAGTGGGGGGATTCGGCCGATCGACGGCTATATAAGGGGCGACGCGACGTAGCAGAACTCATTTGCCGGTTTGGCATCGATGAGCGGTACGCAACGTGTTAAAAGCTGTCAATAAGGTGTCAAGACAGTATGTTGACATCTAGTAACTATCATCTACATCCATCTACAACATCTACATCTATAATGAGATCCGACATTTATGACATCTACATTTACAACAGATGGCGCGCAAAACACAGGAAAACTCGTGAGCGGTACGCAATGTGGTAAGAGCTGTCAGTAAGGTGTCAAAATCCTGTCACTTTCAGTCCATTGGGCACGCGGAAGATCCTCTCTTCCGGCGGAAGCTCGCCTATGAGGTACACCTGCAAGCTCTGCTTCGCCATGGGGGAGTGTCCGGTTCCGATGAAGGCCAATGTCGCGTCCCTGCCAGCGTACTCGAGTATCACGTCGGACCCACCTGGATGAGTCTTCAAGAAATCCGTGCAGTCGTAGACGTAGTCGTGGATCACGACCCAACAGTTGTCAACGGTGTCGTGCCAAGCTACCTCGTCTAGATTGATCATCCTCAACTGCTCGGACTCTTTGCTGCACGATTTCGTCTCTTCCTTGTCGTGCTTCGGCCTCCTCAGCTTCGACGAACCCTCTTCGCTCTCGTTGCTCTGCTCCTCCAGCTCGAGGAAGTCCTCCTGCGACGGTTTGGTGTCACGCAGCTCCAGGATGGTTAGACTTAACAGATCCATGCCGTCCTTCACGCTGTCAATTCTGTAAGAAAACACGAGCGATGGCCGGTGTTAATTGTTGGATTGCTAGGTGACAGTGTAATCTCACTCGACTGATTGAATTAGGATTTTAATAAGAGGCATACGACCGATTTTTATTAGATGGTTAGGAGAGTCTCTCGCAAGTAGACGGATTGACACTGCATACACACTCGACGACCCGTGCTTCTTCCGCGGAACGAAGCAGTATACTGTCAACTGCCAATCGTAAAGGTTAGAGAATTTCCTCCGATTGGAGGTTATCGAGCGTGCTTTCATTTTCGATAAGTCGAGAGGGATTACACAAGAGTCCTGCTCGCGAAATTACGTGGTCCGTTAGGAGGAAGATCTCGCTGCGAGGACCGTTGAACCACGGAGGAACAGTCGCATCATTCCGGAGGCAAATGGTTGAAATTACTTCGACCTTTGAACAACGACCATTTCGTGATAGCTAAATCAGGGTCAGTGACCCGGGTGGAAGAAATGGACGATAGATCGGACGCAAACGACGAAACTCGTCTCGATCACGATGCTAATTGTCAAGACCAATCGCGAAGAGAGTAGATCGGATAATTCGATGTTATTTTCAACCGACGTTCCGTGGGTTCACGAGTATTCTTCGAGACTCTCCTAATGTTCCACGACCAGGTTGACGGAATAGTGGTTCGTCTGCCATCGATCGAAAGAATCGGCAACGATGATTACTTTCGTTGCTCCGCCCGGCTCGACTCCATATCCCTCGACTACCTGCACGAGTTCTCACCGAAGGGACATTGCACGCGGCACTGAACAGTCGAGAAATCAATTCCCCGGCCTGTTGGAAGGAAAATAATTCTATTACCGGTTGAAACCCAATGCGTGCGAGCTAGTTGCTCTATCTCGTCGATCCAACGGTGTCGCGAGTCGTGGATCCCGAGTCAGCAACGAGATCACTCGGAGAATTATCGGTACCGATCGACAGTGGGATAGTGTACTTAGGATTGTGTACCGTTCGCGAGATGTCTCTTGGATTTTCCAAGTGCCCTAGGTAATCGTGTCTCACCGTGCGCGAAATCGCTGGCGAATCGTGGAATTTGCAACGTTGACGTCGCTTGACACGCGTCAGAGTATATCAGCGGGTTCGTCCTTTCTTTCTGGTAATGTAATAGATAAACACGCGCAATTATGCAACTCCCAGCGGATCCGACGAATCGCACGTCGCGTTCTTATCGAGCGCGAAGGTTCGTCTCGAGAGCGTGCGTTGTTACTGATTTATTGTTCGCCCGTTCGCGAGATAAATCTGATTTACGTCTAGTTACGTCAATGATTACGCGTAACTTGACTAGTAGTTACATGGTCGCTGCAGCAGGAAGAGGGAGCTTCGCGAATTCCGTTTGCGAATCATAGCAGAGTGTAGATACGTGGTCCTCGAATTTGACGTTTTTCGTCTCGCGATTATTCGAATTCAAATTAGCAGAGATCACTATTACTCATTGTATAAAACGTAGAACCGTGTAATTTTGAAATTTTCTTAGAAAATTCTTGGATATTGTATAACTTTGGATTTACGTCTGATAAAAATTCGTGACAGTGTTTAGGTATAGTAGATTACGTATAGTGAAAATGCGTTTGGATATCGTCGAAATTTATTTATAAACAATCATATCGAATGTACGTGATGCAACCATAGCGAGCACGTGTCGTATTAATGTTGTTGTGAAATAATAGCGATGTTTTCATGCTCGTGGATATTTACCGAGTAATGGAAGGAAATTGTTAATTCGTGGACAGAGATAAAAATGATTGAAATGGTGTAAATTTCGAATAGACTTCGCGTTCGTTTAAATACACGTCGCTGGAACCGGTCTCTGCGCGAGGGATTTGTCTTCGCGAAAGAAAACCAGTCGATAGCGATTTCGCGATTCGCGTTAGCGTCAAACGTAATCAATGTTACGGCAACGTGCATTCATTATCGCGAACAATATTCGATATGGTTCAATGGAAGCTTCCTCGATACGACGGTGAGATAAGATTTTATTGAATCTTTTGCTTGACTCAATAATATGCTGTCATAATTTTTGGGGGAAATTTATAGAAAATAATTTTTATCGTGTTCCATGAGCGGAATGCAATGGAACGTCGACGAAGGTCAAGGAAAAGCTGTGCTGTAAGAACGATTCGCGATTTGTTAGTGTTTAATGATGTAACGCTGAGCAATCGGCGAATTACACTGTTCAACGCGAATTTTTATTGAATTTTATTGAATTTAATTTTTTAAAATTAAATGAAATCGGGTAATTTTTGTGGAGCTTACTTCCCTGAGAAGGAAGACGTAATCGGAACTGGTATATCACGTTTAAATTTCGAAAATTGTGAATTTGGTTAAAAGAAAGATACAACATTTGGTTAAAATAAAATATTGTATATAAGGTAAAGAAGTTAGGAGGTTCGTTATTATACTAAGAGTAAAGTAAAAGTATTTCGAATGTTGATTATTAAAATTGTTTGTGTTGCGGAATAATTATAATTGGTCGTCAAAGTTTGTCTGACACGAATTTTCTATAGAATAGCGTATTGTGTAGGTTATTCTGAAAGAGAAAGCATGGAATAAAATTGTAGAAAGAGTTTGCAATTCGATTAAATCGGGAATATATTCGTCGAGAACGTGTATATGAAGTTTTCCCGCCGCGCAACCATTGCGCGGTTTTCTAGTCGCGACAGTGCCGTAGCTACGCGTAACCCGGGCACTAAATGCAATGGAGCTAACATATAACAGTTAGATATTTTATAAATGTTTTATAAAAAATGTATAAAGTGTCAAATTCATCGTTCGTAATAAATTGAAATTATTAATAACAAATTGGATAAAGCATAAAAATGGTTCACATAAATGCATCACAGAAATTTATATTCTAAAAGTATAAATAAAATTTATATATTATTACACTTAGCTTTAGTAATAAATTAATTTTGTTAGTAACAAATTCTTCGCAATGTGAATTTATAATAAAAGCGAAAAAATTAATAAATTATTGACTATTACTGGAATTAATAATTACTTAGGTTAAAATGTCTGTATAATATTAAAAAATTTATGAATTACTACACTGATTGTTAATAACAAATTAATATTGTTGATAATGAGTTGTTACAAGATAAATTTATAATAAAAATGAAAAAATTAATAAATTATTGGCTATAACATGACTTTAATAACGCACTTGTGTGAAAATGTACCAATAATTTACAAAACTGTTTATAAATTATTGCACCGATTGTTAATAACAATTTCATATTGTTATTAACAAATTGTCCGCAATCTCTATTTATAATAAAAGTGAAAAAATTTATTAATTATTTACCACGAGAGCGGAAAATTAATAATTAATAAAATCCGCGAAGTTCGCAAGTTTCCGATCGGAGTGGGGGGACTCGGCCGATCGACGGCTATATAAGGGGCGACGCGACGTAGCACAACTCATTTGCCGGTTTGGCATCGCGAGTGTAACATATAAATATTTTCGTGTGCGGGAACGGGGGAGAGGTCCGAGTGAGGTTGGGGTTGGCCACCCCACCCACACCTCACCCCTTAAACAATTTACTAATAATTTTTCTTATTTTCAGCTATTAATTATTTTTTATTTTTTCAGGTATTAATTATTTCTTTTTATTTCAGATGTTATTCTTTGTTTATTCTTATTTATATTCGAACATTCGAATATTTCGTATAATATTCGAATGTTTCGTCGTTGGTTTCTGTATCTCTCATCGTTGGGTTTTTTGTATCTCATTTTTGGGTTGTTCTTCTCTCATATTTAGGTTCTTAATAATTTTCTGTTTCTGGTCTAATCTATTTTTCTTTCAGGTTTTAATTATTTTTTTTCTTTTCAGATTTTAATCATTCTTTTTCCACATTTTATTTTTTCGTCCCTATTCATACTTATTCGAATATTTCGTATAATATTCGAATGTTTCGTCGTTGGGTTGTTTCCGTCTTGCTCCTTCCACTTTGTTAACCTTCATGGTTTCTATTCGTTCGTTTTCTTTTCTCGTACTAATCCGTTTCCTTCCAGGTTTATATTAACAATAATATATTCTGTTTTAGCTTGTAGGTTTTCCAAAGACTTCATTTGGGACACATCAATGGACGACGGGGCATTTAGACTTAAGTAATAATAAGATAGACGCCTAGGCTAAGTAACATGTGCGTGCTACCTGTACAAAGGTAAGCTACCTAACTTGGAGCGAATGTATATCTTTCATATTTTTCCTCTTTTATCCCTGTCGTTTACCAGATAGAACATAATTGTTCTCGCGATAATCGTGATTGTTCTTAAGTACCGACTAGCCTGCGCGACGTACTCTCGTGTACTCGGCAACTTTGCGTCTCATAAGTCATCCTCACGATTCGTCTCCAACACTCATTTCCAGCCACTGTCAATCCCGTCATGCATCGGGTTCCAGGGTGGCCCTCGGGTTACTGTTTCTACTGGAATCGATGCGGGGGCCCAGCGCCCCGGTCGTTCGCGACTGGGGTATGGGTCTGCAGTTGGACGGGCATAGTGTCTACGGTCAGACCACTTGGGATGATTAAGTTCTACCCCATGGGGCAGGGACACGAAGTGTCCGTCTGGCTTGCAAGGCCCCGCTGGACCCTCGCATCGACTCTGGGAGTTTCATTGGTTCGGGGACTAACCTTGGTTCACGTGTAAGTCTTGACGAGAACGACAGTGACTGGACTTGGACTAGGCCCGATCGGGAGGATGCCGAGGCACGAAGTTGTCTTGTACACGGGAGTACGTCTCGTATGCTAGTCGGTCTTTCGAATAATCGCGAATTTGTTCGGGCGCGTCGCGATTTTTCACTTGCTCGCGTATTTAATTCCCTATTTTTATGGGAACTTAGAAATATTAGAGTCTATTGAAATAAAATATCTTAGTGTTGCGACAGTAAAGATTTAGTATACCGAATCGAAGTCCCTTTTATAAGACACGATATTTAATAAAGTGTCTGTAGCTTCACTTTAACTTAGTTCGCTCCAAGTTAGGTTAGGCTACCTTTGACACAGGTAGCACCAGTAGGCTGCGCCACTAGTGCGCATGTCGGGTCTCGATGCGTAGCCCCCTCCTCGTGGTGAGACCTGGTAATTGGTATCGTTTTCCAAAGAATAATTTTTGGAAAACGATACCAAGCTAAGAGCTACGCATATAGTTTAAGATATTTCCTATTTCTTGTAAATTTACAATGCTCTTCTTGAACTTTGAAAATAAAGAGTAGGAAATATCTGTTGAAGTAATATGTAAATTAAGAAGAATGAAGACGAATGAAGGTAAGTAAAGAAAGGAAGGAAAGTATGTAAGTAAGGTGAGGTAAGTAAAATAATTAAAATCTCCAGGAGTGAGTAGACTATGTATACAGTGCAATATTCATGTAAAGATTGAAAATTTCATTCGCTAGAATTTGTTAATCATGACGTCATTACTTGGAATTCGGTCGGGGATCGACCTCCTTTCGTGTTATGTTATCCTGATATAAAATCGAAAAATCGGCCGAAAATTTCTCGCCGTGGCGGCTATAGCACTGCCCGAGAATTCTTGGATCTGACTCGATGTACAACCTCTTATCATGTCATGTTACCCTAATACAAAGTCGCAAAATTGGCCGAAAATTTCTCGCTGTGGCGGCTAAGCATTGCCCGAGAATTCTTGGAAATGACGTCATTTCTTGGAACTGACTCGATGTGCAACCTCTTATCATGTTATGTTACCCTAATACAAAGTCGCAAAATCGGCCGAAAATTTCTCGCCCAGGCGACAAAAGCATTGCCCGAGAATTCTTGGAACTGGCTGGATGTACAACCTCCTGTCATATTATGTTACCCTAATACAAAGTCGCAAAATCGGCCGAAAATTTCTCGCCAAGG